CCGTCAACACGAGAACTCTTCCCGGTGTTCCGAGTGCACTCAGGAGCGCAATCCTTCCTCAGCGGGCGGCACATTTCCCTACAGCCCCCGCCCACGCAATCCCCTTGGCACGCGCAGGCTGCCATTACGCGAATGAGATTACGGCGGCGGCGGCGGCATCAACGACGGGCGGCGCTTCGAGTGGCGGGCTGTGTTGCGCGCGGGCCAGGTGCGGGGCCGGAGGAGGCCGAGAGTGCTCCGGGTAGGCGGTGGCCCCGCTTCGCCAGCGACGCCAGCGGCGGCCGCGGGGAGCGAAGTGGCGAAGAGAGAACAATGGCCGGGTGATTTGCGGCGGGCGACGGCGGCGGCGCCCCCGAGTGCTTCGGGATGGAGAGGAGATCCCGCGGGACGCCCGACGGGAGGCGGGCGGCGCCTGGGAGAGCCTTGGGGATGAGCAGTTTGTGGGGAGGCGGAGGCGCCGGCGCCAGCGCCGGCGGAGGCATATTTTAGCGATGATAATGTATAATCAATACCTGGCCGTAGGTAGGCTCTCTAAATGTGGCGACGTAGGAGAGACAAGGTTCTGACGACAGATATTACGGCAAGCAAGCCACTAAAGTCTGCAATTTATGAGATGTACATTAGGATGGTGGAAGTGAGGTCATGCCCTCAACGATAAGTACAATATATTAATGTTACTTTGTTTCAATGGACATTCTTATCGATGCTGTATTTAAAATTCAACAAACATATTTCACTAACAATGTAATTTGTGACTGTGGAAAGCGAGAAGTTTTGACAATCAGAATAGCAATCTATAATGGAACTGCATTAAATTATTTTCCTTATAGTGTTATTTTGTGTACTATACATAGGTAAACACATTATACTTTCAAACAAATGAACTGTTGGGAGTATCCAGACGTTTTACCGTACAATTCAAATGAGACTTTCTTCTTCGGGGAAATACAGTAGGGTCGTAACTCATATGTGCCATAAACGTGCCGTACGAAATGTAAACGTATTCCACAAACTCCCTTGTTGACATTTTCCTTTTCTCAGTTCATTTAATTGAGTACCTGGGTGGATAAACACATAAGTTCAGGGTTTGCGCATTTAATATAGAGAAATTTAGATCAGTTTATTTTATTTCAATGTAAAAAAGGAATGTCCTCATGCCGTAACAAAATGATTGAAATGTAATAACGAACACGCCATTCTTCTGTCTTTACAGTAATCGTTCATTCGTTCGCCCTTTCTGTGAACACACAGATTTTCTTCGGCGTTCCAAATTTGCTTTGCGCAGATTGGAAAAAAATAGAGTGAGCGGGGGTTGCGAGAGCGGCAAAAAGTCGCCACCGATCCAGACTCACGCCCGGCGCGGTCCAACGCTCGCACGCTGGTCGATACGTGGATGAACTTTCAAATATTCACGAGGGTGGAGCCGCTGCCACCGCCGGCGGCCGCTACGCCCGCCGCCTCTATCCCTGCCGCGGAACAGGTTATCGATTCCAGCTGGACAAAGTCAGGGAGCGGTTTCCGAGACGGAGACATACGTGGCAGTTGAAATTTCTTTTATTTACCCCGTGTGGTCTTGTTTTAGAAAGATGTTTTAGTCAACATATTCATGTCCAGATTAGCATTACAGTAAACTTTGCTTTGGGAGTCCTACAATACAGAAATGAATTAGTGACGATTCTTATTGGACCATGGACCAGTGTGACATTTGTGTGTATTAACTTTTATTTAATATATTAGTACCAGAACAAGGATGGAAGTAAAATTCAATCTGTGACATATTTTACTTTTCGTAAGATATTGTGTGAAGTTCGAATTTTCATTAATTTGAAATGACTACACTGATTCATACAATGTTCTGTTGTTTAAAACAAATGTCCTTATATTAAAAGAATAATCTTCAAATTTTCATACAAAGAAGGTTGATTGGAAGTAGGAATTGTCGATTTTAATTCATGCTTGCCAGATGCAGCAGAATCTTAATGTCCGTGAATCGGAGGCGTTGTCGTTTTTGTGGATACAAGTGCGGTTCAGTGCACCGTGTTCCACCACTGGCGTGGCCTGCGCCGCCTACTTTTCCGCCTCGTGCTGCGCGCGCTACAGGAGAGTACAACGGGTTGCATCACAAAAGGATGCAGGTGCGCAGATCGAAAATCATTTCACGCGCCCCTGTTCGAAAGGAGAGTGACTTATTAGTGATTTCTGTAGAAAGCTTGAATGAATGAATACCGCTGTATTGAAAGTGCTTAGAGGATTTAACCTCATAGTTTTTGTTGGCATACACGGATTGCTTTATTTTTTTTTCGATATTTGTTTTAATTTAAATTTACCTACACACATTTTTTTATTTAAATGAGTGGTAATAATTTTGCATTATCACTTTCGAAAGTCGGCATTGCCGAATATTTGATTAGTGTTGTAATAAAGGCATTTCTTAAATTACGAGAAATCAGTGAAAACGTGAGTAATCTAAAATGAACAAAGCTATTCTAGGTGGGCTGTATGACGCAAGCGGCGACAGATGCTTTTTAGATTTAAAGTGCGCCTGCGAAAGTGGCTGCACCGGGGACCGCAGCTTCAGGGCCTCTTCCTCCCCAGGCGCCGGTTATCGAGTGGGGGCGGCGACCCCGGGGCCGCCTGGGAGCGGGGGCGGCGCCGCGTTGAGGGGCGTGTTGACGTCAGCACCGGCTGTGCAGCCACCTCCGCAGTCCCCTCGCCTCTCGCGGCCACCTTTCCGCGGCCGCGATGTCCCCGCCAGCCGGCGGCGGCTGTCGCATCGCGTCGCGCGCCTGACACGACAGGCTCCTGGACCGCTCTGTTCTCGTCTGCCCCAGCCCCGTCCCTCGCTGCCCGCCCACGGTCGTCGGACGCCCCTCGTCATCCGCCGGCCGCTTGCAAGCGGCGTCGCCTCGTTCCGTGCGCTACCCGGCTCGCGCGCTGTTACGAATTCATAAGGACAGTAATGCGGGCTCCGGCCGAGATCCATTCACCGTCCACTCGGAGAGGCAATCTGCCTGCGCCCGAGTGTGCCGACGTCGTCGGCTCACCGGTGTATTCCCCGCCCGCCCGGACGTGTGGCTCTTCCTCGCCCCGCCCCGCCCCGCCCCGCCCCGGCGTCCTCGGGGAGATTGTTTCTAGAAATAGCGTGCATTCTTCATGTGCGAAGGAGCTGACGGCGCGGCGCTGCGCCGACTGGCCCTCATCCGTCGCTGCTGCATTCTTCATACGGCCGGCCTGCGTCACCGGTGGCGTTGTGACGTCGGTGCGTGACGCCCTGCCCGGTGGCGCGGCGCTCGCCGCCTGCTGCTTGCCGATGAGCCTCCCTGGCGACCGCGTGAATTTCACATCCGGGTGCGCTCGTTGTCTGTGACACCGAGACGCTGGCAGCATTCGTTCTTTGCCTGTTTTTTGCCGCTTCCGTTACTCATAAACGGTCACCACCGCCCGTAAATTTGTTACTCCGACTTAAGGTTGCCGCCTCTACCGCCTATCACTTTCTCCCTCCTCTGTAGCAGCGTTTTCAGTTTGGCATCGTCTGCTCCTTTTTCATGTCGGTTCGCTTGCAGCATCTCGGAGTTTTCTTCGCGACCACACCCAATATCTTTGCTGACGCCACCGTCGCCCGTAGTTTCCATTACCAGCGCCTCCTCTCGCGTCTGTTCTGCCTTTTGCCGACGCTGCTTCGTCCCCGGGGCACTTTGCGGTGTTTTATTGTACGACCGTACCCGGAAATTTCTTTTTTAAATAATACAAGGCGCGAGCGTCATGTAAAATGAACATTCCGTGAAATGTGCTCGTGGGAAAGAACGCGCCTCGTAACTGCTTTCGAATTGCTAATACTTCGCTGGGTTAATAAAAATACTCGCGTGCTGTTCCGCCCGCCGCCGACCCAGAGGCACAGGAAATGTGAGTGGCGTGTTGATTTTATTTCTACCCGCGCAGAAAATGGGAGTCTGAATATTTCTTTTTTATAGTAATATTTTTATTATCATTTTTGGCGTATTAGTCTTAATGCCAAGACGTTTATTTTGTAGCAGCAGAATTACTTTAGTTTTAATTTTATTGGAACAGTTTGAATTACAATGCAGTCGTCATACGGTTTTTCTGAATATAGTGATTTATTAATTAATAATCCAAGTTTGTTATTATCTCGCAGATACCTATTATTAAAATTTGTTTGAAATCCATTTTTTGGATTTGTGATATTTTATTGATACATCTCTTCGATGTTAACTACTTACTATAAATCGGTTTATAAAAAGGTGAATATTGAGTGTGTTCTGGAGTGTGAAATCAAAATTTTACTCTGCCTACTTAATCATTAAGAAACTATATTATTTAAAAAACAATCAAACAACCTTCTTCAACAATCTATTCTTCTGTGCCTTGATATGTTAGAAGAGAGCATTATTTAATCTTAACTTGATAATTTGTCTTCAACTGATCGATTGGACTTGCAGCGTCCTTCGGCGTGTGGTCTTCTTCACTTCTTGAAGGGATTTGATTGCCACCAACCGTTCTGCCGGTTAAATTTTGTAGAGAGCAATACACTTTTGTATCTTTTATTCGGATTAAATGCATTTGTGATTGTCGTATTTTAGTGTACACTTTGGTACGGTTACACATTGACATATAGAATACATCAGAATAAATGTTACAACTTCTAGAGTATGAACAAGCTTAAACGGAACGACCAATCCCTAAATTCCAAGTAGTGTGGGTGGGTTGCTGGCTATTTGCCGAACGCCAAATTCGTTGCTCGCCTTGTCCACAGCTTGTTGATATTCGACACATCATAGGAAAAGAACATTCGTCGAGCTCCTGATCTACTCGGGATTGGGCGAGCAGTCGCTCGCTACTCGGCAATTGCCGAATATGTGCAACCGCCTTAGATACCTTTACACGACCTACAAGTTCGTACCGTTCATTCTGAAACATTATGCATACTGTTTGGCACTCGTAACGTGGGCGGTTGAAGAGTGGTTTCGTGCTTGGCTGCGTAGGTGGCGCTGGTGCCGGCGTCCGAGGAACGCACGTTCCACCGCACGGCCGTGCACCGGGAGTCGAGCACGCCGTGGTTCGACCAGAAGTTCTCGTGCGAGGTTCTCCCCGAGGACCTGGAGAAGCGGGTGCTCGTGTCGGTGTGGCATCGCGACAAGGAGAAAAGGTAAGGCCCTCTCTTTTAAGCTCTTGACTTCCTGCACGATTTTTGGAGACACTTTAGAGGATACGAAGTGTTGAAGACCGTCTATCGAGATTCCATGGTGGGAGCAGTGAACGTTTTAAGGATTTTTTTGAAAGTACTATGCATTTTTAGTAGCCATAGATGAAAAAAAGTGTATATTGTATAATGAGTATCTCGTAAATCGTGTGTCACGGTGATCAATTGATTGGTTAATGATTCTGGGCCCGTCAAGGCAATTAGTCTCGTAAGTGTACTGCTTGTTTTATCACGGAAGGGCAGTAGTGATTTTCCCCCGCTGGTTGGCGAGATCATATTACGATCTTCGTCGGCTTGCGGGGTTTTCCACAACCAGGAATCTCCCACCAGAACCGGCACCGCCCCAGTCGGGACAAGTTCCAAGTTCCCGATTGGTCTCCCGTCATGTGTGTAAGTGTAGTGCTTGCTGAGTGTAACTGTAAGTAAGAGGGTAGAGAGGTCAAGGAAGAGGAAGGAAAGATAGTTCCGTGGTTTCGGAGAGGCCACGGAAAACCATCGATCAGAGTACCCGCTAGAATTATTCTACAGACAGCGGCTGAACTCAACCTAGCTAATGCCCAGCCACCTTTGCCGGTACCGTGATCAAACCTGGGAACTGACGTTTTTGAAGATTGTCGAATGAGTATGACCCCTGTACATACAACTTTTTGTATTTATCTGTTGCCCTTAGTGTAGGTCTGCTTTCAAAACGGTGTATTTGCGCTGTAGGTAGCCGGGGTTAATTTCTATCCCATGATGTCTACAGACCTCTCTCCCATATGAACTTGTCATTGATAGTTTTAATGTTTCATGACATTACTAACGAACGACACATTTGCTCTTTATAATAGCAAATGTGTTCATCATAAAGCGAGATGGAGAAGTGAAAATAAACTCTCAAACGGTGATTTATTTTCAACATTTTGTTCATTAAAAATATTACGATGAATTAAGAAAGTATTACAGGATGCTTACCACAATGATAACAATTTTATTGTGGGGAAAAATAGAAACAATCAAACATGAAATTCTTGTTTAGGAACCAGTTGGACGGGATAAATTGGTCGTTACGAAATGAATTATTATCCTCACAAAAGTTGAATATTAAGTTACCCGAAACGTGAGAAATTTTATGGAGTTGGATATGAAAATAAATTATTAGAAATGAAATTTGATCACAGCAATTCCACCATATTGTGAAAAGTATTTTGATTTCAGTTATTTACAGTGGATGATATGTAGATTTATGTGGTATCAAACGATAGTATATTAATCAGATATTGAGATACCTACCAAAACATTTTCCTCAATTCTTTTTTATTTACGTTCAGTTATAAATGTCATCCCGTGTCTCATAATGCAACGATAATTGACATTAAAAACGGAACACGAATAAGTTGATGAAGAAGGGCAAATATGAGATCATGTATCTTGTTACGTTTCAGTCTTCATGTGCACGTTCTTTAAAACGCTAAATGAGTATTGTGCATACACGCTAAATGTGTTAGATTCATAACACTACTGAAGTACAGAAGTTCATTTTGTGTCCACGTAAATAGCTTTTGTACTCGAGATCAGGCAATTTATCTTGCTGTTTGACGCCTTTATGCGAAACATATTAGCGAGCCGGAAGGTGGACGAACTAACTTTTCGCAGAACAGCTGATATTCATTTCGGTTTAAATTGAAAGTTTCAACAGAATTAATGTACTTGCATTCAACACACTGGGCAGGTGCTGAATCTGTTTACAACAGGAAAACATCAAGAGAATTTGATTTGATGTTTTATTTGGTAGCATTACGAATGGAGCAATGCAGAGAGCAAAATTATTCAACATTGTAACAACGAAAGATTATCATGATATTAACACTGTTTAAAAATCTAAATTATAAATTACAATGATCATAATTGCCCATTATGTAAATATTTTATGCAGTACATAGATAATTTATTAGTTATTCTTATTCAATAAGTAATCACTTACGTAGTAAATTTTTTTCAACCAGTGTAAAAATATAATGAAAATAAACTATCAAAATATTAAACCTTAGTCTGTTGTCTCTTCTATTTTTTCTACATAAAATTACTTTTAAAATAAGGGTTGTATACAGACACATTATAGCATTATGGACACATTATAGCATTGTCTGTTCCACTTATGAATTTTAAAGCATAACAATCTTTAAAATTTTCGTACGCATGTATCACGCTTTCAGAAATAGTCTACAGGAAGCACTGCTTGTCGTTTGGTATATTTTACAGTTCCATTTAGGTTCAAATGAATTATCTGATTTCTTTTATTTGTAATGTGAACTTAAATTAAAAGACTTGGAATGGCTCATATTATAAAGGATATAATTTCACACTATAAGGCAAAAACGATATTGAAGAGTAGCTGAGTAGCTTTATTGAACTGAAACTGGCAACTAAAATTTAACATTTTACGTATAATATGCATCTCAAAGACGTGAATTTTTTTCTTACAAATTCGTTTGTGATTCGTACTATTAAAATGTCCATGTCAATCGTCTTGTTTCCGTGATTCTCCGGGTATATTTTCGCATTACCTTGAACAACTGCAACCGGATTCTTTCCGCAGCCCATAACTACCTTCACGGGCCATTTCCCGCCCAGCATGGCCGCTTGTTGCGCTCTTTTCGGGAGGAGGGCCGGGCCAGGGGCGAGGGAGTTGGGTTTGACTACAATTCCAAAGGCTTCCTAGGTATTTTATGTTTGGCCTGTTATTTCTACCATGTATGTTTAGTTAAAAATTTGAACTTCGTGTTAATGGTATTACAAAGCATTAGTTATGCAATGTAAATGAAACATTATTTCAGAATTTTGTGTTTCTTGTACATTTTTTCTTTCAAATGTGTATGTATACATTTTTATGTGTTATTCTGTTCCAAATAACTGTCTTACTGCATCGCTTCATAAACACACATAATTGTTTTTACAAGACTGTCGTTTCTAATGGCTATTCTCGGGAGCAGCTGAGAAGGTTTCGATGTTTTTCTTTATCGAAAGGAAGATAATTTTTTTAAAATTTAGCAACATTTAGGCTTTTTTTCAGCTCATTTTATAGAAACGATTTATACAAATCTTCAATTCTATTACGTACCTACATTTTATAAAGTCCCTTTTTAATTCGAACTAAATGCTTTTTGATTCATTTCGATGGAAACGTTCAGCGTAAATGAAGATTAAATTTTAAAACTAGCCGCGGCAGAGAGCTAGATCGGGAGCGGATGGGAAGGTCAGGCAGGAAGGGACAAACGTTGGTGGGTATGGCAGTCGGCTTGCAGTAGATTACGGCCATACTGGGGGAGAAATAGGGCGCGTGGAATGGCGGTGTAAATAAAATTACGTCCCATTTACTCAATAGTTACAATTGAAGAGCTTGGGCAGTATCACGATAAGTCACAGAAAGCGTTCCGCCATTCTAAAATGTTAATACCTCGATTTTGACCGAGGAGAGTCTCATCTTGTTACTGCCCCCCGTCTTTCATAAATATAATCAAGACATATATAGTGAGATGAAATGAACTTTCATCAAAATTCAAATATACACAATTATATTTAGCGAGAAATTTACTATAACTGACGTGGCTTATCCTGTTACTGTCCCAAGCTCTTCAATTCATTTCTTTTCTAATTGATTATGATAAATGCCGGGTAATTCTCGCTAATGTTCACTAAAAAGCTTATGCTTGAAACGAATCGTTTAAGTTAAGTAATATTTTATATTGCAAAAACTCTCATTGAAACTTCATTGAGAAAAACTGATAGAATGATTTTTTTTGAAAGTTGGAGCTGCAAGTACTACCATACATCAGAGAAAAATATCTAAGCATTCAGAGTTTCGTAATAAAGATATTATTTAATTCCCAAACGTGTGCACCTTGTGTTAATTATAAAAACGATCTCGCGATGCTGTATTCTTAAATGTAACTCGAAGTATTTTGAGAAACGAACTCAGTGCGTCAAAACTATCTTAAATTGCAAATGGAAGTATTCCACATATAGAACAATTTATTTTTCGATAAATGTAAAAAATCATGAAACATATTATATTTTAGCTTTATAGCCTTAATACAGAACTTTTCCTTTGTATTCGCTTGTAGATTAGACCAAAAAGAACTCAATGAAATGCAAATTATCCAAAATTCGAACTAACCTAGCAACAAATTACTTAGATTATATAATAATAAACGCGATATCCACGAGTACTTAGTAGATAGTGGTTTTACCTTTCAATTGTCACATTTGTACGTTCCCGATTGTGCAATGTAATTCTATCCTATTCTCTCGAAATCTGAACTGCAGTAGGCTCAAGATTTTCAATCCGTGATTATATAGGTGTCAAGCGTTTTAAGACAACTTCCGTTTATAAACAACCCTGAAGCTTTCTTGGTCCCAAATTACTTTTTAAGAAAATCATTTTGAGCGGAGAAATATTTTGATTACTTTTTGGAATTCATAAGTTTATTGCTATACACTATAAAACTCCGGACTGAATTATCAGAACATTAGAGTAAATAATAGAAATTTGTGTAAAATATTATCAGTGATTATGATTCTAAGTTTAAGGGCTGGATCATTTTCTTCATAATCTGCAGTTTGGAATTTATGAGATAAGTCTGTAGTTTCCTCGTTGTTTCGCTCTGCCTTAGTTTTGGTACCTTTTCCTTGTGAGTCTTCCACCTCTTTCTCCTTCTCCCCGTTTCCCTCTTGTGCAGCGCCGCTCGATGTGATCCCCAGGCGGGGCGCGATTGGCATGCGAAGCGACCACTTTATCCGCACATCCTGAAATTGATTCATGCGCCAAGGAAATGACTGCTAATTCATCAACCCTCGCCCACAGACTGCTGGCCTCCCTCCCTTCTTTCCTTTTTCGGAGGGAATTATTCTCTATCTTGTTGGAAGAGATCCAAAATATATTACTTCCTTGAAATTGATTGTCGGGC